TAAGACCGAGTGGCACCGCACCTGCAGGGTTAATTAAACAGTTCAAGATGAATCGCCGTACAAAAGAAAACCGTTCTCTGTCCTTTTAAGAACTATAAACACTTGTGCTGAACGAGATGGGCCTCTGATAAGCTGAGCAGCCCAGAGCAAGCTCCGAGGTCTCCAGTTAACACTCAGATTCAGTGTTAACACTTAATAGAACAGCGTTGAGTCCTGTTGCCAAGGTCAACAGCACAGATGCACTAATTGTATTATGAGCTTGACATCTAGTGGCCACCCCTGGCAGGCCAAAGCAGGCAAAGGTTAAATCAGCAAGGCTTGTCAGAGCCCTTCTAACGACCCACCTTCAGGGAGCTGGGTCTGAAGCTGGCCAGCTCTGCAGCCCCACCTTCTCCCAGACCTCAGACAGCAGGGCCTAGGCCGCTGGCAGAAGGCTTTCCAGAAGGCAGAGGGGGCAGGGATCTTGGAGGGTGAGCAGAACTACTCTGGGGTAGTGAGTGGGAGAACACAGGTCCCCCGAGGACAAGGTTTAGATATGGCATCATCCGGTGTTTCTGGTAGCCATCCTTCAGCCTGGAGAACTCTTCTCTTTAATTAACAGACAGATCAACCCTAATCTCTAACCTAAGTGGTGCCCATTACGTTATTTTGTTATTTCAATTAATATTTTACACTTTCTGTTACACACCTTGCTGTATTTGCTGGCTTGGGAATCACACAGACAGCTCACTGCATTTTAAATCATAAAGATGTTCAAATTAGAAGAGAGAGAGAAAAAAAACCCAAAAAACCCAAAGGATGAGTTTGCTTTTTTTTTTTTTAAACACAAACATTATTTAAGACCATATTAAAACATTGGGTTTTTACAGATTTTGTTTACGTGTGACTTTAGGAAATGTGCAGCAATGTAGCATATGCTCTAATTACAAGCCTGCTCACAGGCAGCACAATTAGCCTTCCTCTTCCCAAGACCAGGACATGTTGGCCTGACTCTGGCAACTAGTCGAGGGATCATGTGGGCAAATAAAAACTCACAGGAGAACAAAACCCTTCAAAAATTACCCCTCTGAAACTGTTCTGCAGCATAAAGACGGTGCATAACCTCATTAGCAGTTAAGAAGATTTTAATTTTACTTGAATCAAAGCCTGTGCCAATACTGACATTTAAGAATGCTAAATTCCAATTGATGCTCAGTGCATAGCAAAACCCTGGTTTTATTCTGAATGTGCCCCCCCCCACCAACTCCCCCCACACAGGCAGAAAAAGAAAATGTTCTGAGAGCTACCTTGAGAAGAATGGAACAGCCTGAGAGATTGCAGTTGGAAATGAAATCTGACCCACTTTTGCCATCATTTTGTATACAAAAAATAATCAGCTTGCTAAGTAATTCCTGCTGTTGGGCCATACCTTTTTCCCTTCCTGGCTCCGAACAGATCTAAAAATACTGGATTATCAAATGTTGTGGAAGTTTAAAATGTACATAAAACCCCCACTGTTAGGTAATCAGCTCTTCCTCTGTGAGGTGGGAATTAATTGGCAGGCTTTCCGTTGACCACCAAATGATGCATTTTTAAAAAGGGTACGGTTTTTAAGTGTAATTTTTAAAAATAAAGGTTTGGAAAGTCCTCCTCTCTCCTTTCCTTCTTACTTACTTTTCACCTTTCCCATCTCAGAGAAAACAATCTGCCTACCAATGTTTAGAAAATGGCCCCAGTGTTGCTTCCTTTCGAATGCTGAATTGTAAATGTGTTGGGGGGGGGGGGTAGGAGGACTCAAGGCAAACCATGCATATACAGATAAAAGAGAAAAGCTCTCTGCACCGAGGGCTGTTGGCCTCCTTCTCCTTAACTTAAACACAGTCTGTGAATACCACTGGTAAATTCTTAAATCACATGCTCACCATATTTGAAAGGATTTTTTTAAGATAGCCATATGACTGAAAATAAAAACACTTTGAAGCAATTAGTGCTAACAAACAAAACATACGATGGCAAATTGTTTTAAATTATAATATCCTTTTGTTCTTCCTTAAACACGTTTTCTTTCTAAAGACAGTAAAATGCATTTTTATAAAGTTGTGTTTCATTTGATAACGGATAGCAAGGTTGCACCTTTTAAAATTCGTAGGAGGTATGTGAAGCACTCTCCTGTCACTGGGAGTTTTCATTACTTTTTCTTAGAACAAAAATACTCAGCTGGCTCCCAGGATTTCATTATTGGTGGCAGACATTTAACTGAATCATAAGCTGCCACACATTTATTTCTAAATTTTCAGAAACAGGAAAAGATTATTCTGGGGAACGTAAGCCTCAGCTACCCTAAAATTTTACAACAGGATAACTTTGCAACTTCACAAAAATCATTATTACTTTTTTCCTCGTTCTAAATACATAACCACATTTCATTCCTACAGTAATAAAGTTCAGATACATGGAAGCTGTTTTTGGATAGCTATCTTTTCTCATTGCTTGCCTAAAAACCAAGGTCTGGGGGAAAAAAAGTCATTTCTTTTTTAAGAAATAGTCTTTTTACTGTAAGTGAATGTGGCTGTGGAACCCTGCCACCCCTTGTTATATTAAAATTATTACACGTAATGTCTGTTTTTCTTGCATTATCAAGAGCCTTCAAATTTACTGTATGCATCTACTGCTTTAATTAACGTCATACTCAAAGTGATACAAAGGAATTACTTAGTTTCTGAAACAATGTAAACTAACTTAGCCTCCTTGTAACTTTATGCATAGTCTGTTGATTTCCATTGTGTTTAAAAAAGTTAAAATTTTGAGAAGATATGATTCATGCTGGAGTAATTTAGTTTTCACAACCATTTATCTTTAAAAATTATTTTAGCTATCTGACTAATGATGACCAGCACGGCAGAGTAACACATGAGTGTTCCTTGACTGAGCAGAGAACACAGTATCTTTTATGCTCTGTAAACAATCAGCTTCAGAATAATTAAATCAGAAAGAACTATTTTTAAATAGTTTGCCTAAACTCTCCTTAAAATAATGGAGGAAACACACTACTTGACAAAGGCTCAGCCCCAGACAAGCTGTTTTTGGCCTGTTGCAAAATATGATCTGAAACTGTTAATATCTGGAACACAACTCTGAATGGCATAAAAACACAGGTTTGGCAGAAACTTTAATCCTATGGTAGGTATAAAACCTGAATGTTTCACCTCTGAATAAATTCAGTAACAACAGGGGGAATTCAAAAGAACTTGTAAATAATTTATGCCATCCTAGGTTTTCAAATATAGGTTATATACCCCTAACATGTTTACACTATTAGGTTCACCAAGCTCACATTTCTGAAGTGAAATTAAAAATGAATAGCAGAGCCTCAGCTTGTTAATTGTTAAATACCAGAGGTTTTTACTCTATTAATTAAAATATGCTTTAATAAAAGGAGACATTGCACATTTTGATAACGACCCTACAAAGCTGAAAAGTATTTACATTGTTGCATTTTGGGGCGCCTGTGAAAGCCGATTTTAAGCTATTCAGGAGCCACAATAATAAAGCTTTAAAATTCCTCACTGGGATGCAATGTAGTTCTTTTGAAGGGAAGACTGTCTTTCTCATTCGGCAGAAATAAATCCATTCATTTGATCATGTAGTCATTGAGGGCAATACAAAACAAACCAAGTGTGAGAAATTCTATGTGATGAAGTAAACAAAACAAAAAAATCCATTTCCATGACAAAAAGATTCTTTGTCCCTAATCCACCCACCATATGCAAGCGTTTCTTTTTAGCATATCTCCGGTTCCAATCTCGGGTGATGGGGCTGCTCTGGACCGGGGGCCTCACCTCTGAGCGACAGAAAGGCCCAGTGGATGAATTTTATTTAATGAGTTCCCGGCCGTTCCTAAGCGTTTTCCCCTTTCTCCCGATGTGCAGTAGTGTACCTGCTTCGTCAAACTTCACAACACCGTGTGAGATCAATGCCCATTCCTGCGATTTTTCTGCAGAAAGCCTGATTCCCATAGAAGGATGCATAATCAGCCTCTACTTTATAAACGGTGAATCCAAAAGTTAGGCGGCATGTTTTTTTAAGGGATGAATTATCTGACGTCCGAGCTGCGGTGCAGCTGCGGACCGTTCTGCGTCCCGGTGTCGCACTCCGGGGACCCCGCAGGCCCAGGAGGGCACCGCTCGGATCCCGGCGCAAAACTTCCCGAGAGGGAGGTCCGGCCGCCGGCGCGAGGCTTCCTCGCGTGGATACTACTACCTTCGCTCAGGGACAAGGAGAGCTCCCCGCGGTGCCGCGGCAACGCCAGCAGGCCGAGCAAACTTAGAGCCGCCTAGACGTGCCCGGTCCGCCGCGTGCGAGGAACACTCCCCAGGGCCGCGGCCGCGCTCACCCCGGATTAAGTCCCAAGCGGCCATTAGGCAAGGCCAGGCGACAGTGCCTGCTCGCTCCGGAACCAGATCGTTAGTTGGTCAGTGCGCCGGGGCTGCGGCTTCGCGGCCTCAGGGCGCACGAGGAGGACCGTGCGGGCGGGGGCGGGCCGAGGTCGGGCCAGTGGCTTCTCTCCGAACGCACACCGCCCGGGGCGCCCGGAGCCAAACAAAGGTGCCCAGCCCGCGCCCAGCGGTAGGTGAACCCCCTACGCGTCCCCGCCGCTGCCCCTGCCCAGGGAACGCTCGGGTCGCCGAGGACCGCCCGGGGACTGGGCGCAGGGATCCTGGGGGGCGGCACGGAAGAGGTGGCGCGGACCCCTCCCGCCCCCGCCCCAGCCCCCGCCCAGACCCGCGCGCAGCTCCCCAACTCCCAGAAACTGAACCAAGTTTACTTCTTCCGAAACTCACTTTCCGCGCAGCGCGCTCCGGTGGAGAGCCAGTCCCTGCAGCCCGCCTGCCCCGGCTGGCGCTGCGCGGAGGGCGGACACTGGTTCTCTGGAGCCAGGGAACTTCCCCTGCCTGCGGCGGGCGGTCGCACTCCCCGCCCAGCCATCCCCAGCCCCCCGCCGCCACCTCGCGACCCCTCACCGTGCTCCGGAGCCCCTTCCGGGGGCGGCAGCTCCTCGTCCGACTTGAGGTGCTGGGGCTTGGCCTGTTTGCGCCGAGACATGCTGCTAACGGCGCGCGGACCCCGCGCGGGACAGCCGCATCAGCGGGGCGGCCGGCGGGGACGGCGCGGGGCGGCCGGGCGAGCGCGGGGCGCGGGGCGCGGGCGGCGGCGGCGGCGGCTGCGCGGGCCGCGCATGGGGCTGAGTAATTAGGCTGGTGAATAATGCATGTCCATTAGCGGAGGGCCGCGCGGATTGGCCGGTCTCCAGCGGACTCCGGCGGCCTATGCAAATAAGGCCGCTCGCAATTAGCGGCCACCGCGCGGGCGAGGAGGCGGCCGGCGCCCGGGGACCTGGGAGCGCGCCGCCCGGCGCCGCCTACATCGCGGGCTCCGAGCTCCACGGCGCCCAGGTGCGGCTCGGCGGCCCGGAGCCGGCGGGCGCGGCGGCCGCCCCTGCCCAGGGCGCAGGCAGCAAACTTTGGCGGCGTCCGCGCGGCGCCGTCTCCGCCGGCGCGCCGGGCTCTCCCCTTTATAGAGTGTCTGCGCCGCCGCCCGCGCCCCGCGCCGCGCCCCCCCGCCGCCGCCCGGCCGCCCCTCCCGGGGAGAGCGGCCGCGGGCAGGGCTCCGGCCGGCGCCTTTGTCTCCCGGGCGGCTCGGGCGCCGCGCCTCCCGCGCTCCGGGGCACGGAGGGGCTGCCCGGCCGCTTTCGTTCCCGAGCAGCGGATCGCCGCGCCGTTCGGCGTGCCAGTCCCTCTCGGGGTCGGGTGCCCCTCTCTCTGGACCTTCTCTTCTGGCTCCCGTCCTTTCCTCGAGCTCCCAAGGCGGCCGGGCTGGCTCGGAAGCTCACGGCCGGAGCGGAGCGGAGTGCGCACGCCGGGGTGGCAGGACTTCGGCAAGACCAACTTTCCGGTTCGGAAGCGGCGCGGGCCGTGCGGCTCCTCCCCTCTCCTCCCCTCTCTGGGTCCCCCCTCCCCTCCGCTCCCCCCCGTTCCTCCCCCCTCTGGGCCCCTCCGACTCCAGAGCGCCCACCCCGCCCGCGGCCACCACCAGGGCCGCCTCGGCCCCCTCGGCCGCCCGCCCGCCCGTCCTCCCTGTTGCTAGCGGCTCTTTAAATCCGGGGAAGGGAGGGAATGGCAGGGCCTCGGTGTTCTCCCCCCCCCCCCCCCACTTTCCTTTCCCGAAGGGTGCGGTGCTGAGGCACCTGCAGGAGTGGGCAGGGTCACAGGGTGCCCAGAGGCCGCGCGACTGAAAGTTGCAAGTCCACGAAAGTCCCGCGTGCAGCCCACTGTGTGCTATGGCTTTGCGGGTGGGGGGATGTGACTTGGTGGGGGAGGGGAAGGTGAGGGGGTCGCGCGCGTCTGGACCAACACCCTCCAGAGGCCAACGACGCGCGCTCCCCGCACACGCACCCACTGTTCGCCTGCGGTCACACGCACGCGCCCTCGCAGCCGCGCGTGCACCCCTACCCGCTGCGGTGCACACGCGCCCTCGCCCACTCCCGCGCGTGTCTTCCATCCCAGGGCGTCAGCTGGGTGTGCCTAGGCCCTGCCATCAAGGCGCCCGCGTCCCTTGCCAGCGTGTCTTTTTAATTTACTAAATTTCTTATTTTTGTCCTTACAAGTGGCCCTGTCTAGTACGTAGCTTTGGCACAGATGGCTTCCCGGCCTTTTCCCCAGTGTTGTGAGCTGGAGGGGCAATGGGCGGGCCGTGACCAGCCAGCCCTAGGTGCTGGGAGCACTGCGAGCTCCTTTTGTGGCTGGGGGTGGGGGTGGGCTTAGCTGCGGACACCAGCCCTCAGGATGGACCCGATCCTGAGCCGCTCGCCTGGCTCACTTCTGGCTGCTTCCCCATTCTAGAATCTTCCCTCTTCCCAGCTTGCGTTCTCCCGCCAGCCAGCGTCTGTGTAAGTTTCACAAAGCAATAGCTTTGGGCTCCAGGAAAGCGCAGGGAAATCATACCGAGGAACGAAGCGCACAGGTTGGAATCGTCTGCAAACCGGCCCCGCCACCACTTTTGCAAAATAAAAATAAAATCTCTTAATGTCGGTTTTAGTTTTTTTTTTTTTTTTTGGTGGCAGGCATATTCATTTAGGTGATTTTGTTTTTGAAAAGAGAAAATGACCAATATGAGGTGTCTGAAAACTAGAGTTGTCTCACACACACACACAACACGACAAAGCTTGTAGGAGGGGGAAATAACCTTACTTTGCCATTACGCTGTGAACTTTCGCGAAGGCTGCAAGCATTTTGGAGATACTCCTGCCCCAGACGCAGCAGCGCTCGGCAGTGAAAACTTTGCAGCCAGTCTTTGGGGCGCGTGGGAGCCAGAAACTTTCCTGGGGCGAGAGGGTGGGGGCGGTAGCAGAGGGTGGAGGTTTTTGCCTAACTTAAAGGACAGACTTTGCACAACCACAGTAGGAAGGTAGATGTCGGTGACTACTTCATTGAAGAGAAAACGCAAAACCATCAGCCGCTGGTCGGTCCCTGGTTAGAGGTGCACTGCTCTATGTGACTTGGTTAATAATAATAATAATCGTCTTCCTTTTCTCCTCCTCCTTCTCCTCCTCCTCCTCTTCCTCTTTTATTAGACACTTTGGGGAGAAGAAGCCCTAGCTCCCGGTGTCTCACGGTTTAGGAGGAAACCCGAGTCTGGCTCCCCGTAGCCTCCTGGCCCTCAGGGCACCGACTCCTTTTTGGGCCACTTTATGCACAGGATTTCCACCGTTTGGTTCCTAAGTCGGTTCACACGCCCACATACCTCTACCCGCTCTCCAATACACGGGCACGATTTCCCAAGGTCTTTCTGGGACTTCCGAACATTGATGTTTAATTTCGCCAGCTTGCTTTGCATTTTCCAAGAGGTGTGTCGTCGAGAGAGTTTTTTAAGCCCCTCCAATGAGGGCGAACCTGAGACCCCGGCCCTTTATCTGCCAGAAGCAAGTATTCTGTTTGCAGAGGTGTCCCGCAAGCCGCGGTGTGCTTTGCAAGTGGGAAGATTCTACAGGCTGCTCAGCGCTGAGCCGGACACAGCGGCACCAGCGAACCGAACCGCAGGAATGCCGGGTGCGGAGCTCGCGGGCTGGCCTGCCCCGCGCGGATGCAGTCCGCGCGCAGGGCCGCGCGTGGGCCTGTGGGTGCAGGTGCAGGCTTTGTGGCGCCCTCCGCACGCGCTGCCCTGGGATTTCGTTGCGAAAATCGAGCAAAGACTGTTGCGAAGGGAGTCAGGGAGGTTGCCAGGGGAAAGGGCCAGAGATAGAACCTGCACACATTCTTGCCATTTGCTACCGCAGCGCAGATCAGTCCATCTGGTGGCATGCCCTTTTTAAATCCACATGGGGAAACAACATCTCTCCCCCGCTGTCCCTCTGTTCCCCCCCCCCCCAAAAAAAAAAAGAAAAAAAAAGTAAAGGTGGAAACAAAAGGCGCGTTACCTCCTAACTCACCTGTTCTCCCTTCTGGGCCTCCTTCAACTACAATCTGAAACTTTGTTTTTATTTAAGCTTTAATGAAAATATATGCGTTTTCAGCTTGAGCCTCCACAATAGCTTTATTTCGAGATGAAAAGGTGTCAACGGAATATTTTCACGGATGAGGACAAGATGTCTCTTTCAGTCTCACCCACAGTGAAGGGCGCGGAGGTGTGCTTCCCAGAGGCAGACATGACCTCCGCCAGTGGCTCCTGCACACTCGCCATCACATGACTGCTGCCTATTACAATATTGTAATACCTAAACACCATCGCAAAAACAAAAGTTGTTTTCCTCCCCTATGATTAAATCTAATTTGTTAATTGTCCTTCCTCTTGTAATGTTTGCATCTCAAGAAGCATCACGTCATTATTCTCTCTGCTTAATAATATTATTTACAAATTAATACCATATATTTTGCATTAGTGAAACATATAATTAGGTGTTTGATGTAATTTGTATCATTTATTCAGATAAAACAGCCTATCTTCGGGATTGATTAGACAGTGGGAGGTTGAGGAGTTAGTTCTGTTCTAATGTCCCAGTGTACTGATGCCTCCTGCCTCTGGGTCCACATGACAGTCTTACATCAGGTACCTCTGACACTTTATTTACAATATGCTTATTTCCCCAGCCACTTACTACAGAAACAGTATTCAAATATTAGAGCTCTATTTTCTGTCTCCTTTCATTCCTTTATTCCCCCCAGATCAAAGTGCCTCTTGGGCACAGGCCTCGCCCCTCCCCCGGGCCCCGCCCCACCCCTAACTTTTGTATAGGGTCCTTACAGTTGCATCCAGCTTTGTTTCATGTCTTTAACGCTGTGACAAGTGACCACTAATTGGTTCCTACTTGAGCAAAGATATTACCATGCTAATATTATTATTGGTAAGAAGAGGTAATTGATAACACCACCTGCCACTCTGGAGCAATCACAGTGATAAATGTTTCCATCAGCAGGAAATCTGTGGTCAGTGCACCACAGCCGGCCCAACCAGCCTGTCAAGTGCCAATTATAAAGATGTTGTTTTCTATTTACGCTGGGGGTGATGGTGATGGTGGTGGTGGGGGGAGGGGGGTAGGGACACCTACAAAATGTATAGCCCAAAGTTATATTTATGCTCTATTGAAGGTAACATTCCCATAAGAATAAAATGCTCTCCTTAAATAAACCAGCACAGAGCGGACTGCCCTGCCCACACTCTCCTGTCACTCACTCTGCTTTCAAACCTATTGAGATGAGTGTCTAAATATTTTTTAATAGGTAGCCAAGTGTGGAGTGCATGCATCTAGGCAGTGCTGTGTGCTGGAAGCCTTACATGTTCATCCCAGGCTGTGCAAGCATCACAGGCAAAAACATCCATGGCTTTCATGTCACACGCAGGGAAAAATCTTTGCACTGAGGGGTGTGAGTGCTGTTAAGGTACTTCTCTGTGACCCTTCCCATGGGCATCCAGGCTGCCCACAGAGGTGAGGGGCACAAAGGTGCCGTGGCATGAGCGACGCTGGCCAGCTAAAACTTTGACTCCCTCCCCTACAGGGAGGCTCGAACGATTATTATTAGCTTGCATTATTAGATGCAGGCCTCAAAAGG